GCACATCTCACATATATTAAACTTCTAGGTGTGCTGAAATATTAACTTCTTCATTCGAAAATGGAAGCTAGGTTTCAAAAATGGTAGGTTATTATGGAGCAATTAATTTTGTTAATCAAGAGATTAATTTCGTAAATGCTACTGTTGATTATTAATGATAAAAAGGTACATTATTTTTCAATTTACGACTAGCACCAATCTAGAGATTTACCTTGTAGTCACTTACCTTGTATAATATTGGGATGATTAAATGATTATTAGTGGGAAGTTGACATAATTGGTTGCAACTTAATTTTATACGATAGTGGCTCTTGCAATTGCAAAGGAGTTTAGAGATTACCTTAATAGCCTTGCAAGTGAAATTCTATACGGAAGTGGGTCTAAGGAATTTAATTGGCTGCAACTCAACCCATTTTCCTTATCATGGATGTCACACGGATACCATCCATTTAATGCATATGGACAGTCCGAAATAGTTTGTAGGTTTGCATGGGAGGAGTGATTTGAATGTGATCTCATCCCTATATATATATATATATATATATATATATATATATATATATATATTAAGTGAGTTAAGTGGCTTCCCGCTCATTTCTAGGGGTATTTTTGTAAGAGTATATTTTCTTCTTAAAGTTGGATTTCTTCTCGGTATGCAGACCTAATTTTCTACCTCTTCTCCACATATTCTTTACTCCCAAGGTTTTCATTCACCCTCAAAGAATGATCCAGCCGATCGATTGACTCTTTTTCTTCATATAGATTTGCGATAGATCTCAACCTCTTCTAACTTGAGGTCCCTCTTTAAGGTATTCTCATAGATTATGCACTTTGTGGTGATCTAGTGTGAAGCTTTCTTTCTTCTCCCGTGAAAAGAAAATCCTGAAATTCTAGATTCTTCAAGGATTTTAAAGTTAATAAAGTTGAATCAAAATATTAATGTTATCTCAGCATTTTAATACAACACAAACTAATGCATAATAAGCATATCATATGCTGCATATGAATATGTTTTAGGTTCATTTTTTCCTGTTGTTTTCATTTTTTTTTGCAAATTTGATCTTAAAATATCAGTTAATATTGAAGTGGATTCACACATATATAACTACCCTACATTAATAAATAATATTAAAACTACTCTATTACACCCCCTCAAGCTGTGCAGGGGAGACAATACGCAAATTGTCATGAAGAAGAGTAAATTGTTGCGGAGATAAGCACTTAGTAAAAATATCTGCCAGCTGAGCCTTAGTAGGAACATATCGCACACGCAAATCACCATGAACCACCCGTTCACGAACAAAGTGATAGTCAATATTAATATGTTTGCTTCTGGCATGATGAATAAGATTAACCGAGAGATATGATGCAGAAATGATGTCACAATACAACGTGGTGGGATCGCGAACGGGAAAACCAAGCTCAAATAGGATCGAACGAACATGAAGAGTGTCTTGAACAGTGAGTGCCACGGCCCTGTATTCAGCCTCAGTGGAAGATCTAGAAACAGTTGGTTGCTTCTTGGAACGCCAGGAGATCAAATTCGGACCCAGAAAGATTGCATAACCAGAAGTAGAACGACTTGTGTCCGGGCAACCAGCCCAGTCAGCATCTGAGTAGACAATAATTTCTGGACGTTCCCGAGAAGCTTATAGGAGGAGCCCATGCGTAGAGGTGCCCTGGAGATACCTGAAAATACGCTTAACAGCCAACAAATGTGAAGTACGAGGCACATGCATAAACTGAGAAACCAAGTGTACATCAAAAGTAATATCTGGCCTAGTCAAAGTTAAATACTGTAGTGCACCTATCATACTTCCTAAGTAGCACGGAAACGGGAAACGGGAAACGGGAAACGTCGGAAACGCCATTTACCAAAAATACAGGACACGAAACGCGGGGGAAACGCGCAAATATAAAAAATATAGGGGTTAATTTATAAATATTATATATATATATATGTGAATTTTTTTATAAGTGTGTGTATATATATATATATATATATATATATATTTATATTTACACACACTTATATATGTACAAACATGCCACACGAGTTTATGTCACCATAAGGAAGTCTAAAATTATTGAAATCTTAGTCACCAAAAGTATTATTAACACTGTCCTCCATCACTAGAGAATTAAAAATAATCTAAGTTAATCAAATTGAATTAATCTAATTAAGAACTTAATTGCATATACAAAAACTAATTAAATTGAATTATACAACATTTAACAATTCAAATTCAATCAATTAAAAAGCTGCCAGAAGGATTAAGTTTGCCAATTGCCGCTGCCCACTAAGCGTGCATTTCATTTTACAAACGAAGGATGGGGAGGGTGAAAAACCAGTGCTCTGAAATCACTCACATCACATATACGGATATACCTGAACGGAAGCTGGCGAGCCGACGATTACCTGCGAAGAGTGAAGAGGCGACGCCCGTTGATGACCTGTGAAGCCCAAATACAGCGGACGACCTTTGCCCTTTGGAGAAGCCGGCGAACTTTGCGGACGGAAGGAAGACTGCGTAGGCCTTAGGGTTGAAGAACGAAGAGCGGACGATGAAAGGTTTGATTGTTCCGTTTGAGCAGGCCCTAAAATTTATCTGATCTGTGTTTACATTTTTGGAAACGCGTTTCCAAAAAATTAAAATATTGAGAAACGGCCCGGATTCGCATATCACCCGTTTCCTGCGCTCGGAAACGTTCGAACGTTTCCGGAACGGGGAAACTCCCCACCCCCGGCGTTTCCATGCATTTCAGCATACTTCTGTACTCCGTGGCATCAACATGAAGCTCCCCATTAGTAAGAGAAAGTTTAGTGCGACTAGGTAGAGGAGAGCGAACAGGTTTTAAAGTATGAAAGTGAAAACGAAGAAGAAGATCAGATATATACTTGTGTTGAGAGAGAAACAAACCAGAAGTGGTCCTGGACGCATGTATTCCAAGGAAGAAACGCAAATCCCCCAATCCTTCATGGCAAAACATTTTGCCAGAAGAGATAAGAAATGAGTAACTAATTTCGGGGAATTGTCAGTAACAATAATATCATCAACATATAGCAAGAGATAAATAATGGATGAATTACGTCTGAAAATGAATAGTGAATTATCCGACAGACTGCATACAAAACCATGAGAAAGAAGAAAACTACTAAAACGATAAAACCAAGCACGAGGTGCTTGTTTGAGACCATAAATAGCTTTACGAAGCCGACACAAATGATGAGGAAACTGAGGGTGAATAAAATCAGGTGGTTGACGCATATAAACCTCCTCCGTAAGATGACCATGAAGAAACACATTTTTGACATCAAGTTGGCGGATGGACTAGCCAAATGACACGGCTAAAGTAAGAACAAGGCAAACAGTAATGGGTTTGACAACAAGGCTAAAAGTCTCAGTAAAATCAATACCTGCCTGCTGATTAAACCCCTGAGCAACCAATCTAGCTTTGTAGAGATCAACAGACCCATCAGCGAAATACTTAGTCTTATAAATCCATTTAGACCCAATAATATTTTTAGTAGCATCAAACAGAACTAAATCCCAAGAATGAATCGAGATAAGGGCATTAAATTCCTCGGCCATAGTGGCTCTCCACTTAAGATGTTTATTTGCAACAGAAAAACATGTGGGATCAGGTGAGTTAACAACTGTGCTTAAGTTAAAAATTGTTTTTGGTTTAAAAATTCTGGATTTTGACCGTGTTTGCATAGGATGAATATTAACAACTGGGGAAGTAGTCGCATGGGAGGAAACACGCAGATCTGGAGCAGTGGTGGGGGGCTGTTCGGGTTCTGTGGGTATATATGGGGAAGAAGTATTGGCTGGAGGGGATTCGTGGGTACTGGAAGAGTGGGTGCAGCGCCAGAAAGGGAATCTCCATGCGCAGAAAAGTGGTCATCTGGGGAAGTTTGGTCATCTGGCCGATCATGAGTACGTAGCAGGGATGGGGAGGGAGGATTAGGGGCATGTATCTGCTGGTCGCGGCTGGGCAAGTAAATGAGAGAGACACGAGAGGGTACAGTAGAAGAAGACACAGTGGTACGTACAAGATCAAAGTATGGAAAAATATTTTCTAAAAATCTGACATTTCTGCTAATATAGACACGACCCGAAATAGGATCAAAACACCGGTATCCCTTATATTCAGGGGCATAACCTAAGAAAATACACTCAACTGACCGAGGATGCAGTTTATTAGCAGATGAAGCATTAAAATTTGGAAAACATGCACATCCAAACACACACATAAAAGATAAGTCAGGTTTGAAATTGAAGAGTTTTTCAAAAGGAGACAAACCATGTAGAGTAGGAGAGGGGATTCTATTAATTATAAAGGTAGCACTAAGGACAGCATCTACCCAAAACGTAGCGGGCAAACTAGCTGTAATGAGCATAGTGCGGGCTAATTCAAGTAGATGTCGATGCTTACGCTCAGCAATGCCATTTTGTTGTGGAGTTTCATGACAAGATTTTTGAAAAACGATGTCATTATTAGTAAAAATATTTCGCATGCCAAAATTATCAAACTCACCCCCTCCATCACTCTGAAAAATCTTAATCTTGCGGTCAAGTAAATTTTCAATCATTAATTTAAAATGATGAAAATGAGTAGTAACTTCAGACTTGCGCCGCATGGGATATACCCAAGTAAAACGAGAAAAATTATCCACAAAACAAACATAATATTTAAAACCAAGATGAGATAGAACAGGACGCTGCCATATATCAGAATGAATTAAATATAAAGCATATGGGCTATTGTGAAAAACTTTATTAAATGGTAACCGTTGAGATTTTCCCAAACGACAAGGAATACAATCAGAAATATTAGCAGAAGTGCCAGAAATAAAATTATTCAGTCTGAGCTGATCTAAAACACGAGTACCACAATGTCCTAATCTATTATGCCAAATGGAAAGAGATGCAGAAGAAAGAGCAACAGGTCGAGGAGCAGGCTGACGGATGGGATAAACACCATTATCACTGAGAGCTCGAAGAAGGACCACCCCCGTTGTTAAAACCTTTACAAAAAAATGATTTTTATCAAAAATCACAGCACAGTTGTTATCAACACACAACTTTTGAATGGACAACTGATTGTATTTAATATGAGGAACATGTAAAACAAATTTTAAGTGGAGAGGCCTAGGCGAGGATGATAATGTAACCTGACCAGTGTGTTTAACTAGGAGAGTGGTTCCGTTTGCTACGACTATAGAATGAGAGTTTGGAGAAAAGGATTTATGTGACAAAATACCTGAATGAGGAGTCATGTGTGCTGAGGCACCTGAATCAGGATACCAAACCAAATCAGAAGCATCAGGAGCCTGAGTAGCAAGGGCAGGAGCAGCCGGCTGAACAAAACGAGAGGGACAGGTGGAGGCTGGATGACCTGGAGCATAGCAAATTTGACAAACTACCGAAGGAGGGACTGAGTTTCCCTCTACTGAGGAAGAGCCTGCATAGCCATGGTTAGTAGAAAAAGTAGATAAGGCATAAGTATAAAAATTTGACTGAACAGACATACCCGCTGAACCTGGAGCCCCAAGAATGCGAGCATGCGGTGCACCCCCTGGAAAGTAGCCCGGTGGAGGATAACCATATCCAAAGTGTGGAGCATAAGCATGACCAGGCTGATACTGACCATAACTGCGGCCCCGCTGACCACATCCACCGCGTCCGCGCTGACCACGGCCTCCGCGGCCACCCCGCTGACCGCGTCCACGAGGTGCCTGCCCACCAAACGGCTGCTGTTGTCCGGGACCCTGTGGGTGCTGCTGTCCGGAACCCTGCTGCTGCTGACCGCCGGCTGGCTACGACTGTGCGGGCTGCTGGAAATGACCCGCAAAGGCTTGTGCGGGATTAGACTCCTCTTGAGAGCGTATGTACTGAATACTCTGCTTCTTCTCAACTAACTTGGTTCAAAGTTTTTCAAAGGTAAAACAGTCCGGAAACAAATCTACCGACGTGATAAGAGACTCATCATCCCGGCCAAGACCAAGTAAAATATATTGAAATAGTTTCCGGGGAGACACAAGGACATTTATGGCAACAAGTTTATCAGCAATATCTTTAATATCAAGTAAGTAACGATTCATGAACTGTGTAGGACTCTTCTTAAAGTAGGAAAGCTGGCGTTTTAATTCCATGGAACGAGCAAGACTAGCAGACATAAAATGTGACTCCAACCGGTTCCAAATAGCAAAGGCATTTTTTAACTCACGCACCTCAATTAACATATCACGAGATAATGTAGCAAACAACCATGAACGAACAGTTTGATCAAGTTTCAGCCAGTTATGATAATCAGGGTTGATTGTCTCGTGATGATATGCATAAAAAATTTAGGGAGGGGGAGCAGGGATGGAGCCATCTAAAATGCCCAAAAAACCATTGGAGACAAAAAAGGACTCAAACTGAGTACGCCAAGTAAGAGAATCCTCAACCGCATCAAGTTTGGTAGTAACAATGTTTGTAATATTGAGTGCCGATAAACCAATATTTTTAACCAAATCAGATAAAGAATAACCTGGAGGAGGCGGGGCACTTGACCATGGTGCAATGGGTCCGATGGAAGCAGAAGCAGGCAGAGGGGCGACTCCCGGAGCACCAGCGAAGGTGGGACCTGCAAAGCTAGAGCCGGAATTGACTGTGTGAGAGGAGCCGACGGCACCAGAGAAGAAGGACATCTGCGGAAGAGAAGGAGGCCTGGTAGGAGAGTAGTTGAAGACCAGCGGCACCCATGGTGCGCCTGCTGCTGTTGCAAACAAATTGGGAGGAGGCGGCAGCGAGGCAACCGGAGAGAGGACTAGTGAGGCATCGACGGTGGTTGTCACCGGTGCGATTTGAGAAGAAGCGCTTCCAGCGGCGCTGGACATATCCGCTGCGGCAGAGAAAGAGTCGGCGGAAGACATGAGGCCGAAAAAAAGAATTAGGGTAAAAAGGTTCTGGCTCTTGATACCATGTGAGAATAATTATCAGGCTTATCCATACTGGTAGCCCTGACAGATATATTTATTGATAATAAGAGTCAGAATTACAATAAGAGTCCACAATAATAAATAATATTAAAACTACTCTATTAGAATGTAGTGAATACTACTTTCATTCTTTTTTATTCTCTTTAATTACATTTTTTACAAGTTTAGCCAGTCTAATGTTATGCATAAGTATTTTGGCGGTGAACTAAAATGAAATTTGTTTTTTTGATTTATTTCTCTCTTCTTGCAATATGAGTCTTATAAGTACAGAGTACTGTTCTTTCATAAAAAAAACTACAGAGTACTGTGATGATAAATTTTATAATTACATGTTTTGATCAAATGTCTTCAAGGACCAAGACCTTTAGCACAAAAATGATTTTTTGTTCAATTCTTATCCATTTTTTGACATGGTAAATATCCAAATTGTATTATGATATCAGTCTTTGACATAGTAAGTTAGTAACTACCAGAATAGTTTGAAATATTTATAGACCAAGATGATCTCTTTATCTGGCTTCATTTGCTTAAAATTGCTTTCCAGTTTACAAATAAAAACAACAAGCTACAATTACATAGTAAATTGATTTCTATGGTGGCCAAAAACCAAGTTTAGCTATTGTTTGGCAAACATGATATTAATTGAGAGCTGGAAATGGACAGTATTTACACTGCTAGATTAATAATACACACATAGAGGAATGAGTTGCTTGACTCAGTTGGTAAGGCATTTGTGTTTAAAAGACATGGATTAAACTAGGTAATCAGTTGGTTACTTTCCTGGTAAATCTGCACTTTTGCACTTGTGCTTATCTATATTGGGGACGAATTATGAGTTACTTTCAATCACGGCTCTCTTAATCTGCAGGTGTTTCAGATTTATCTGACATCAATGACTCCAAGACTCCAATACATTTTGGTAATCCATCTTAGCCAAACTTCTCATCATTGGTTAGTATATTGAATTTGCATGTTCTCCATGGCTCCAAATACTCCTTCAAAGTCTTTTTGAAGGATGTTAATATGCAGTGGTGTTAGCATTGCTTTGTGAATTTGATAACACTAACGAGGTATTGATGTTATGCTATTGTTTTTGTTATATCCTATGATGATAGACAAGCAGCTGACATAATCTTATAAGCTTACCGAAAGTACTTTATTATAAGCACTGGTAGCCATATTTTTCCTCTTATATCCTGTTAAATTTTACAAATTTTTATTTCAACCAATTCTAATTATTTTTATAGCGTTTCATCTATCTTTTCCTTTTTGTTTTACTATGATACATGTCTATTGTTTTACTACTTGCAGTTAACATTTATGAAACATATGAACAATCTTTCTCTCTTTCTGATGTACAAGTGTGCAACTAGGCTGTGGAGTTGCTTTTAGACTTTCTGTTAGTCTTGATAACAAAAGGGTCCCCTAACCTTGAAAGATGGGCATTTAGCTACCGCATTGGTCATGATGCTTCTACTATGATGAGTAATCTGATTAGTTTTTAAGTAAATGGTGAGTATTGATTTATGTTGCTTTAGATTATGGTGTAGAAGATGTCAAGAGATTGTGTTTGTGCATATATGGTTACTCTATCTCTCTTGAACATAGGGATGCAATGATCTAAAGTTGTCTGATCCATATCTGACATTGATGGAGTTTGGTTGAAGTTCAGAGCTGTTTTTACCAGTTAAAGCATTTTGTTGGAATATGAGGTTAATCCCAAGATTCTTGATGACCGGAAGTCTTCATTTTATTTTGATGGTACATTAGCTATTTTGATGTTACTCTCTATCTCTCTTGAACATAGGGATGTAATGCTCTAAAATTTCCTGATCGATATCTAAAATTGATGGAGTTTGGTTGAAGTTGAGAACTGTCTTTACCACTTTGAGCATTCTGTTGGAGTATGAGGTTAATCCCAAGACGCTTGATGACCAGAAGACTTCATTTTATTTTGACTTCATTTTATTTTGATTGTACAGTAGCTATTAAACACTATATGAAAAGGGAAAAATACTCCAATATTACTAAAACTCATTAGTTTTCCTGGAATATGACCATACATGATTTTTTATGTTGGGTATGACTCAAATCATTACTAAATACATGGGGATTCCAATTTATTAGCCACATTAGGCATATCATTTACTCCAATTTGCATAAAAATAGGAAGAATGATGTGGAAGGCTAAACAGTTATGACTAAAAAATAGGGATGGATATTAACACATGCATAGATGGATGATATCATTCTAGTAAAAAAACATAAGTAGTCATATTTTAGGAAAATTCATCAGTTTTAGTAATATTAGTGGTAATTTTCTCATATGAAAACACATGTGTTTTTTTGTCTAATTGCTATTGTATTAGTTTATGTATGCATGGTGGAGTAATTGTAAATCCCAGTGAAACTATCACATATGATAATTAAGAAAAAATCATTATTTAGATCTTTTTGAATTTTTATTAAAAAAATTTTATATGAAATTCAATAAAAACAATAGTTATTTTGGTGAGTAAACTACTACGGAGTAGGGATGGACCGGGACGGGTCGACCCGGTCCTGCCACTGTTTAGTACCGGACTAGCCCGATCCGGTGGTACCGGGATTTAGGAGTGGATTCGGGCCGGTTCGGGCCCGGTTCGGGCCTGGTCCCGGCCGGGCCTCGGTTCTAGGAAGGCAGGCCCGGAACCGGCCCGGATAACCCCGGGTTCGGTTCGGTTCGGGTCACCCGCCCGGTTCACGGGCCGAGCCGCCCGGCGGGCCGGGCCGGGCCTATTTAATTTTTTTTTAATTATTATATAATTAGAATAAATCTTATTACAATTACAATATATTATATTCGAATTGAAGTATATTTATTTCAAATAAGAAGTACAATTGAGAATTAGGATGAATTTAAAAAATGTAATACATTTTGTAATAAAAAATCAATCGGACTCTCCGCCTTCGGTTGTTTTCTCCATAAAGTGGCGGGAGGGAGTGATGGTAATTTCTTGAGTTCTTCGTTAGGCCTTCAACCAATCGTGAAAGCAAACTAGTGTCTCAAGAGAGCTCGGGCTCAACCTCGTTCTAAAATCGGTTAGGACGTTGTCGGCCGCACTGAATTCTTGTTCCACGGCAACGGTTGATATCGGCATTGCTAGTACTTGCTTAGCCATCTTTGATAAAATCGGGAATGTTCTTTCATTTTCCTTCCACCACTTAAGAACGTCAAAGTCATCACCAACTTCATAATCAACATTCAATGTTAGATACAAAGAAAGCTCGTTACCTGAGCTTTGTTCAGTAGCGGGAGTTGCTCTACTTTTTTTCAAAAGAGAACCAAAAGCAGATTTTAAAAGTGATTTTCCTTTAGATGAAGAAGATGTTCGTTGCATGGGAGGGGGTGCATTACCATATTGTGCATGAAATTCATTATACAATTTTTCGCACCGGATCTAGGGGAGGGTGGGATATGGGTCTAGAAAATAGGTGACCAGCCGGTCCGGGATCAGTCCTGGACCAGTTCGGGACTGATCTGGGCCCATTTTATTTTTTTTTTAATTTTTCGCAATTAATAGGCTGTTGGGCGGGTGGGGGTGCGTGGTGGGACAGGAATAAATTCGAAAATCTTTTTTTTTTAAGAAATGACCGGCCCGACCTGGCCCTGGCCCGATCCCGGTCCAACCCTACTACGGTGTATACTATGAAATTCTATTAAAAATATTTTATATGAAATTAAATAAAAACAAGAGTTACTTTGGTGAGTTAACTACTCTGGAGTATAAATTTAATTTACTTTTCCTAACTTTTTGCTTACATAGTATATTTCATGATAGAATGAATAATTAGATTGTCATGTGTCATCGTTTTCTATATCCCGTGCAACATACGGGTAAAAGACTAGTGTACCAATGATTAATATATATCTAAGAACATCTTCAATGGTTAATTAGTTGTCCTTATGATTTGATGTGGCACATTAGCAATTCTATGAAAATTATTTTCAAATGAAATTTTTGCTGATGGTTAACTAGAGCTTCTCGATTTTCAATTATTATTAATAATTAAACGGTGGCGGATACATGAAAATTTATT